ATTTCAAAACCTTTGATGGTTAAGGTTTTCACCAAGTTTTTTTTTTTTTAAAGTGCATGCATGTAATTGTAAAGAGTTTGAAATCATCATATCGTGATCTTTAATTATAATAGCTGTGGGCACATTGTTTGTAGGAAAAACTAAACTTCCTCAACTGATATTTAACCTTGTTTCTGTTGCTACCATAGAAATTAAAACAACCAATTCATTTATTTATTCAATCATACATGTATATAGAAGGCAAATGAGTTGGCTGTTTGTATTTTGGATGGTAGGATAGAATATGTGAGTTTGCTATCCAGGAAAGAGTTAACATGGAAAAGAACCAGTTATTTGAGTAGAATTTGTTTATGGTTCTAATAGATTGTTCTGAGATTATAAAGTAATGATCTATGAGAAAGGAAGAAGATAGCAATGAGATTTTAATTAGAGGATAATAGGTTTAAGCCCAAAGCTTTGTCAAATATTGTTATATATATTTATATAGCTGAGGTGAAGTTAATAAGGACAATGAAGAAATTTGGGATTGAGCACTTCATTAAGGTAGTGATAAAAAGTTGGTTGCAAATAGGTAGTAGAAACTTGAAGGATCAAGGTTCTACTTTTAAAGAAGATTGAGATTTGGAAGATCAAATCCTTTTAAGGTGGGGAGTATGTAACATCCCATATACTTTAATGAATAAATTAGAAACTGGAGTAATTTATTTCATAGTTTTAGGGATTAAATTGATTGGATTTAGAGTTTGGGGGTTTTATATAGAACTTAATAGGAGTTGAAGGACTTTAACTCCATTATTTCATTTTTTTGCCAAATGGCATTATATCAACTGAGTAGAACCATTCTATTGTGTTGACGTGCCAAAATGGATGGAGTCATTATCTATCCAAATGAGATGGGATAGATCATCAAGATCTATGTAGAAATTGACTAGGCTCGGAGGGTTGGTTAACCGTGGGGAAGGTGTCAGGCACCCCACAACTTCCATATAATATGGTTACCACATACTTTAATTTTGGAGACTTTTCAATTTTATATCAAAATAATAATTACCAAAAATAATAATAATAATAGTAAACAAAAAAAATCACTTAAAAAAAACTGTTATCATTTTTTTTTGTTCCACTTTCCTTTTTTTTTTTTTGGACTTTCTTTCTTTTCTTTTTCGTTCCTATTTCCCTTTTTTTTGTTTCTGCTTCCTTTTTTTTGGTTATGACATATTGGACTTAAAATAAAAGTCTCCAGAACCCTCAATTTCCCCTATGTTCTCCCTTCTTCCAGTTGGTCCCCTTGCGTTTTTCTTTCTTTTTCGAGCTAAGTGCTGTGTTAAAGCCAAGTTGGAACGCACTCTCCAGCATTTCTACTATTTGATGCTTTGATTTCCAAGTATGAGTTTTAGTTACAAATTTGGGTTGGAGTTTTGGGTAGATTATAGATCTACTATAATATACTAAAAATTAGTTTAAGTTTGTAAAAATTTGACTCTAGATCCTTTGTTTAAGAAACTTTTGGGGTACTAAATTTGGTTTAGAAATATTTGGGTTTTGGGTGTATGCACTAGTGTTGGGACATAATTTAGGAATGTGTTTTAAATTTCTTAATTGATTTTAGTATGAAGATCTATTGTCTATAATTTCTATTGTTGTTGTGGACTTCATGTGCTTGCTTTATGTGATGATTTTCTTATGAATTAATACGACAAAATAATTCCATTTACTTGAAATTTGGACTGTTGTCCATGACTTTGGATGGAAAATAGTGTTCATTAATTATTATGATCATGCATTAACTACATTATTAAAATAAGAAATCAATTCTTAATTTTGGAGATGGAAGCTGTGAATTAGTGTTAGAAATTTATTGTTAATTGCTGTAGAAATGCATAAATGGATTTACTAATAAATGGAAATGTTCCTATATTATTTTGAATATGCTTTGAATTTGTTTGACATGTGTTTGTGTTTATGGTTATGGAGTAAGTGGACCTAAACTTAAAGTTTGAGGTATTCAATGGACCATCCAGGGTAATAGTGGACCTCTGCGCAGTAGGATTAGTACCATGATTAGCTCCAATACAAGTGTTGCCAACACACATTAGGGGACTCCATAACATTGTGCGATTTTTGTTTTATGCATTCTACTTATGGCATCACATTTATGAGCATATGGTTTTATGATATGAACTGATTTAAATGTCATTATTATTCCTTGGCATGTTTGATTATCTATGAGTTAATTTGTGATATTAAATTATTATTTAAATATAAAGATTTATAATATTATGTAGCTTGGATTAATTGTTTATTATGCTTTTTCTGTGTGTGGGTCTAAGGGTCTTAAGACCCAAGTTTATAGCTCTAACTTAATACTTACTGAGCTTTTAACTGATAATATTCTCCCTCATTTCAGATTAGTAGGTTAGAATAGCAGTCACTCAACTTGAAAGCTTTTGGTATAGGTCCTATATGCTCCTTGTATATATTAATGTGTTGTCAAAATGATAATTTTGCTTTTAGGGTTTTGGAAAGTTTTTGAAAAGCATTTGCTCTCATGTATTATTTGTGTAAATTACTTTAATATATATAATATTTAAATCAATCAAAATAGGTTTAGCCTAGTTTATTTTATGACTTTGAGTATTTTGATATTTTCTTTAAGATATTTTCCATTAATTAGTTTTTCTTTACAAGTAATTAATTTTCTTTTTATAAGTTTTAAATTGATTTTGAAATAGGTTTTTCTCATAAAGAAACATTTTATATTAAAAGAGTTTTTACTTTTGCTGCAATCTTTTTCTATAATTCTTATTTCAAGACTTATTGGAGGTTTTATGCTAACTGTAAGCCGTGCTTAAAAAAAATTAATAAGGCAAATTTATATTTGCCCAAAACTTTCATTTGGCTCTACAATTTTCAATCTATCTTGTACAGTTATTGAGCTTGAGGATAGCATACAAAACAAGCATTTTGATTCTATAGATATTTCCTACTCTTTTTTTTTATTTAATGCAATACATTTCCCTACTTGATAAATCAAAAGGTTTACAAAAGGCAAAAGCCCTTATTTGCACCCTCCATTTATTTGTTTTTCACGGTCAACACCTTCTAAAATTTTTCCTCCCTATTAGCACCCTCTGTTTTTTCAAACCCGTGAAAAACTCAATATTTTAACGGGCCGTCACGTAACCGTTAATAACCGTTAAAAAATGTAACACGTGGCACTTGAAAATTGACTTGGACATTATTTGACGTTATCTATCCAATTTAGAATAGTTGTCTGCACAAGTGTATTACGTGGCACCCTTTTTGATGATATAGCATAATTTTGGTTATATCCCCGATTCAGTCCCTCAACTTTCATTTTTGGACTAAAACTATCCTCAAACTTCAAAAAGTACTAAAAAAATCCTTGAACTTC